TTTAGTTTCTGAACAGCATGGAATGGGTGGGAAAGGATGCCTGCAGGAAGCAGTAGTTGGACTTTTCTTTGGTTAATCAGCTCCCAAATGATGACAGAGACTTCTTGTTAAGTATAAAAGCTCAGCCTCAGCTTAGACTTGTTCCCAACTAGCTCTTACAACTTAAATTAACCCATTTATATTCTGCCATGTAGCTTGGTACTTCTGCTCAGTACTGTGCGCCCCACTTCCTCTGTGTCTGCCTGGTGAATCCCACTTTTATTCTTCCCAGAGTTCCTCTCTTGATCCGGAAGTCCCACCTATCCTGTCCTGCCTAGCTATTGGCCATTCAGCTCTTTATTAAACAGTCAAAAGGTGCCTAGGCAGGCAAGGTAAAACAGCAACACATCTTCACAGCATATAAGAAGATTATTCCGTGACAGGAAGTTTTGGCTCAGGTCTCCACTCTACTCTGTCCCGTGCCTTGCCCATGCTCCTCCGGCCTTCTCAGGTCTTGCATTGTTGATCTGTACCTGGGGGTGGGGGTGGGATACATGTTCACCTTCCAGACTCGATGAAGATACTCATGGGGACAATCTAGGTTGAGGAATGACTAAAGCACCAGGCCCACAGATCTGCAGTAACCCAGGGAAGAGAGGGTGGGCTGTTCTTGGCTAATCATGGGGTGTGTGGAGCCACCAGTATACAATGGAATCAGGGATACCTGCTTTAGGGGCTATGTAAAAACCACGGAGAACATAACCCCTCTGAGCACCCTGAAATCCAGGGTGTGATCCGCAATCCCATACAGAAGGTGTGAGCCAAAAAGAGCTACATTTCGAAGGGCTTTGGTCTCAGATACCTCATTTTTTTTTTTCAAGACAGGGTTTCTCTGTATTGCTTTGGAGCCTGTCCTGGAACTCGTTCTGTAGACCAGGCTGGCTTCAAACTCAGAGATCCGCCTGCCTCTGCCTCCTGAGTGCTGAGATTAAAGGTTTGAGCCACCACCACCTGGCCAGATACTTCATTCTTAAGTTCCTCTTTTGAAACACAATTTGTAAGTCATGTTTATTTGTCTACAAAGCTCCCGCTCACCCTATATGAGTGGACCAGTGGACTGTAATGTGTTCAGAGCTGGGGTGGTGCCTGCTGGGTCAGCACGGGGCTGTAGTAAGTGGAGGGCAGCTGTCATTTAGAAATTTTTAGTAGTGGCGTGTAGAGCTAAAAAGGAACAGGTGAAATTAACTTTTGTAACATCTTGTAATTATATATATTAACTTTTGAAATATATTTTGGTTTGACATCAGTCACATATCGATAAAAGATTATTAAAGAGATATTTCAGGAGGACCCTTGTCTTCTTTTGAAGTCTTTGCAGTTCGATGTGCATTTGCTACTTACGCCTGTCTTAATTTTGGATCAGTCATGTTTCCAGGGCTCATTGTGCTGATCATAACATGTCACTGAAGACCCCAGGAGAGAGTATGAACTTTGTTGTCTGTACCCTGAGGAGTCCTGAGGGAGACTGGGAAGGGTGGGACATAACCTGAGGAGGTTTCTGGAACACCTCTTCCAGACTGCAGTGTGGTTTAGGCTTGTGCGAGATAGGAAATGTGTGACCCAAGAATGATCTGCACAGTTGCATGCATTCAGAGCCAGGCCCTGCCCACCTGGGAGACAGGCACAGCTCTGGCTCTGTGAGCACCCTCCATGGTCTCCTTGGTTGCAGCAGAAGGGTGATATAGCTTGAACTTTGCCTGGATGCTTCCAGTCCTATATGTGCCTCCGAGGCAGACAGCTGCATTCTTGCACTGTTCCATGGGGCCCTGGCCCAGCAACATGTGATAAATGTCTGTCATCAAATGAGTGACCTCTGGGTCCATACAGCTGTGACTCTGCAAATGACCAAGGTCCAGACCAGAACTTTATGCTTTCTGCCAATATATGCATGGTACATACATGTGTGATGTGTGTGCACCTGTGTGTGTGGTATGTGTGTGCACCTGTGTGTCTACCTGAATGTGTGTGTGTGTACCTGTATATGTGTGTGTGTGTACCTGTGTGTGTGTGTGCATGTGAAGGCATCAGATGTCTTCCTCTATTGATGTCTACCTTTATTATTATTAATTATGTTTATTCAGCAATCCTTTTAATGACTAAGCCATTCCCCAAACCCCATAGAGTGCATGGGTTTTGTTCATGACTATTTCAAGGTGACTGAACATGATATATGTATATTTTGAATAATATGTAATTAATCCCGTAGAAATCCAGCAGAGTAGAAGTTCCTTCCTTGTAATTCTACTACTCTTTCTTTAAAAAGTTTATTTTTTTAAATTATGTGTGTGGGGGTCAGAGTATGTGTACCTTAGTGTAGATGCCCTTGGAGGCCAGAGGCGTCAGTTCCTTGGAGCTGGAGTTATAGGCATTAAGTAATGAGCCACTTGGTGAGGATGCTGGGTACCGAACTCTGGTCATCTGCAAGAGCGGTATGTGCTCTTAACTGCTGAAGCATCTCTGCTGCCCTGCGCCAGTTCTCTTATAATGTGGGTTCCCAAGGCAAATGCTACCAAGAGCCAGGTATAGTTCCTTCAGGGTCTTCACACACACACACACACACACACACACACACACACACACACACACACACACACACCCCTACCTACCTCCCAAGTTTTGGAGTCACCCTGGACCCTGTATTCTCCACTTAACTACACCTGGAGTTCTTCTCCATATTGCCTCAGTAACTCAGCTTTGATCTGTTTTTACCTGCTGAGTGTTTTCTTAGTCTAATGGTGAAATCTTCCTGTAGACTCACAGGTATACAAAAATGCCCCGTTTTCCACAGATTTTCTGTCTGGATAAAGAACAAAGCCAGGGAACTGTTTTGTCTGCAGGAGGCTTTCCCCCAACCTGGAGAACAATGGTGGCGGCATCAGGCAAGGAGCCCAAAGGCCATAATCCCGTTAGCCATGCTGTGCCCTGAGCCACTTGCCTGGCCTCAGTCCGGCTTCTCTTTTGGAGTCCTTTGCTGTGGGGGCTGTTATTATCTTCTCTATGGGCCTGGTCCTCTCCTGTCCAGTAATTAGCCTGCCCATCTGGCCTTTGTGTGGGAGTTCTCTGCATGCAACCCACCGTCAGGACCCTGGGAAAGGCTGCATTCCTCCACCTCTGACAGCACAAAATCAAAATGCCACCTGCATTTCTCAAGAAACTTCGTTTTTTTTTTTTTTTCAAAGAAAGAAGTATCAGGGAGAATCAAGCTGTCCCAGCCCCCCAGCAAATAGTTTCACTCATTCAGCAAATATTCCCAGCGTTCTTGGGCACAATTTTTATTGCTTCTGTTATCTAACAAATACAGGAGACTGACTACAAATCGGCACTTCAAATATTTGTGATTCGTGCATAACAGAAGAATGATCTCAGGCCCCCAGAGACCCAGCCTCCCCTACCCTCCCCCCCCATCATTTTTAGAGTTCTGAACACGTGGGATGCTCTCATAGGTATATTGCGTGGATCAGCCAGAATTCTTAACTTCTGGTCCATCCAGAAAAGCAGAGAGAGGAGAGTGACGGCAGACCTGATCATAATCTTGAGCGATAGGACTCGGTGCACCCCAGATGCCGTGTTTAGAGAGCACTGTTTGCACAGAGAAGAATGCAGCCAGGGATCAGGTTGAGAGGCATGAGGACTTGTCCTGGAAAGGATAAAACTGACAGCAAAAGAAATGCAAACAAATTGTAACAGCACCACACCACAAACTCAGTAAAAACACCTCCCCAGCGGTGCAGCTGGTCCATGGTGCACAAGAACCTAGCACTGAGAAGAAACAAACAAACAAACCCAACTTTCTCTAGATGGTTTGTGATGGTCTCCCCGGCCTACAACAACACTCTAAAACAAGCAGAGTCGGGTGTCTGATGCATTTTAGAGAGAGAGAGAGAGAGAGAGAGAGAGAGAGAGAGAGAGAGAACTCGGACTCAGAGATTAAACCACCTGAGCAGGGCCATACAGCCTTAGCCAGGCAGAAGAGGGGCCAGAGACCAAAGTCTTCAGATTTCCCTCCTAGCCATTCTCCTCTGGCTTTACCTTGGTGTGCCTGCATGTGTGTGTGTTCCAGCCTGTGTGTGTCCATGCATGTGTGCCTGCATGATTTGTGCTTGTCACAGATCACTTGGGCTAAGTAGATGGTAAGGCACAGCTAGAGTCATCTTTTCAACTCACGCCGATTCTCCTTCAAAGAAGGATGGATTTTAGCTTGGCTCATATTTGCCACCTGTCTAGGCAGGGTGACAGAGACAGAGAGGGGTAGACACTGAACTGTGGAGTGTGTTTCTTCCCACATAGGCCTCCATGCCCAGATGCAAACAAAAAACCAATGTCGCTCGAGTTGGGTTTCTGTCAAAAACAGAAAGAGGAGTCTTCCCTTTGGCCTGTTCGCTAGTACCAGCTCCAGGTAAGCAGCAGCTTGGCTCTGTTTCTCTGGGCACCATCTCTCTACAGGGAGCCAATTCAGAAGAAGCTTGGTTTTGTGTGTGCATGTGTGTGTGTGTGTGTGTGTGTGTGAGAGAGAGAGAGAGAGAGAGAGAGAGAGAGAGAGAGAGAGGATATGTGGAGGGTGTGTGTGTGTGTGTTGGGATGGAGACAGAGAAAGTACTGAAAACAGAGAGGATAAGGACCCAGTAGCTCTGCACATGTCACCTAAGCAGCCTTCTTGACATGGCCTTTTGGGGTCAGGCACACCAGCTCTGGACAGCCAGGTGGGGAAGTGGCATCTTCCTACTGACAGGGAGGGAGAAAGACGGTGACGCTGCCCCAGAGGTCACTTTGCTGTCTTACTAAATCGTCACGTAGGTCCTGGCTGCATTCGCCAGTGTTTATTCCACAGGGTGTGCTCTGCCTGCCTGTCTCCATAGTCTTGTTTTTCACGAACAGAAGAAAGCTGCTTAAAGAGTTCCAGAACTTGTCCAGTGCCACTGTCCATTAAATAGCATATCTAAGTCCCCAAACACCTGACTAGACCCGTGCTTCCCTTTGGATCCCTGGTGCTTTCTGGGACCAGGATCTAGGATCACATCAGAGCTTGCCTGAGTTAGTCTCCTGTATTCCAAAAGGTGGCAATACCCCTGTGCTCCCATACTTCCGTCCCTGGAGGACAGCCCAGGGATCAGTTCAGAGGGGTCCAGAAGAGTCCACACAGCCTGACCTCCAGCCTTACCCAGCCAAGCCTGGAGCTTTGGGCCCCAGAGCCTAGAGGAGGGGCAGGAAGGCATAGGGCGTGGAGAAAATTGCAGGGCATGTCAGATTTCAGCAAATCCAGATTAAAGCCAGAAGAGCAGGCTGAAGCCCAGTAACAAAACCATCACTAATTAGGAGGCTCAGGGCAGCCACAACGCACCGCACCGCCTCCCTCTACCCTGCACAGTCCCCACCTTGTTTGTTTATACAGCAGAACAAAGCTGGCACCCTTGGGGTTTAGCCAGAGGCTCCACCACAGAGTCCTGGGATGGGGCATCACAGTCAACAAGAGGTTCCCCAGGGGCCCCTATAACAAAGAACAGAATGGGGACCAAACTGCTCCTCCAGCACAGGAGCAGTGCCCCTCTTGTTCCCATGGGGACATCCAGCTCTTCCCTGATGTCTTTCCTGGAGATGACTAACATCCCATAGCATCACCCGGTGTTCTCATCATCACTTTTCCAATAGAAAAGTAAGTTCTGCTTAAAACAAAGTCACCCTCTCAGGAGACAGAAGCAGGAAGATTAACTTGAGTTTGGGGCCAATGAGGGCTAAAGAGTGAGGCTCCATCTCTAAAACAAAAACCCAAACAAAACAAAGTCACATTCATGGTGCTTTGAAAATTTGAACTATCTCCCCTATAAGGCCACCACTACTAAGATTGTCCCCACTTTTCTGGATCTCACCAGTTCTACTGAATTTCTTTTCCTGGCACGACTCCTCTTAACACCCCCAAACCCAGCCCTGATTCAGTCATGGTTGCTTGTGCATGGATGTTATTAGAGTATGTCTATATAGACTTTCAAGTTTTGTGTTACTTTTCCATTCATGTATATCTTTAAAAATATATTTGTATGTGGCACCTGTAATCCCAATATTTGGGAGGCTGAGGCAGGAGAATTGTTGAAAGAGATTCTGATTTTTAAAGGGGGCGGGGCTGGGAGATGGCTCCGCTAGCAAAGAGCTTGCTGAGAGCTCATTGACTAATTGAGGCATTGACACATTCGTCTACCACCAAGTGGAAAAGCCGGGACGAGTGGCAGCTTCCTGTAATTCCAGAGCTGGGGAGGCAGAGACAGGAGGATCCTCGGGCCTTGCTAGCCAGCCAATCTAGCCGAAGGACTCTAGGTTTAGTGGGAGACACCTGCCTCAAAAATATAAGCAAGGCTGGCAAGATGGCCTAGCAGGCAAATGTATGTGCTGTGAAGCCTGATAGCTTGAATTCAGTCCTCAGGACCAAATGATGGAGAACCCACTCCCTCAGGTTGCCCTCTGACCTCCACATGTGTGCTGTGGCACACCTGTGAATCCACACACGTGTGCAATAAATAAATAAATGGAAAGGATTGTAAAAGGCAGAGTAATCGAGGAAGACACTTGGGACTGAACTCTGGCCTCCACATGCACCAGCACATACAAGTGCTCACATGTTAACACAGGTGCAAACACACATACAAATAGCTAAAAGTACAAACAAACAACAACAACAACAACAAAAAAACAACAAACCCTAGCCACACACAAGTGGCCTTCTGGCATTGGAGAGTGTGATTGTGGAACTTGCCCTCCCTTGCTGGCTTAGTCCCTGTAATGCTGCCTGGTCCTGGACAATGAGGCTCACCCAGTGTTCACACTGAGGGGCCCACTGTGTGTCCAGCTTTATGCCTGGAGCTTTTCCATTCATGGACCAATGCCTTACTTTGTGAGTGATGGGAAGGCTGGACCAACATGAGCAGGTGTCTGTGGGGGCCTTTGCCCAGTACTACATATCTCTCCTCCCCAACACCTGTATCTACTGCCTGAGCTGTGAGATTTAGGGGGTGAGGCTGCTCACTGCTCTCCCTCCAGCTCAGTCCATTCCCCCTAGCCCTTTAAACTCTGTGCACAAGTGAAGTGGATTTGAATATATTTTCTTAAGACAGAGCATGGGGCATGGGCTTTCGAGACAGGGTTTCACTGTGTAGCTTTGGAGCCTGTCCTGGCACTTGCTCTGGAGACCAGGCTGGCCTCGAACTCACAGAGATCCGCTTGCCTCTGCCTCCTAAGTGCTGGGATTAAAGGCGTGTGCCACCAACGCCCGGCTTGGGGCACGGGCTTTCTACACAGTAGAATCTCAGTAAGAACCTCCTATGCAGGGCTGGAGAGATGGCTCAGTGGTTAAGAGTACTTGCTGCTCTTCCAGAGGACCCAAGTTCCCAGCATCCACTTCAGGTGGCTCACAACTGAGTGGGATTCCAAGAAAACTCCAGGAGATCTGACCCCTCCAGGGGCACTTAGCTCACGTGCCCATGTGCAAAGAAGGATACCTAAAAATTATAAAATAAAAAAATTAAGAATCTATTGCTTAGGGCTAGGGAGGTGGTTCCTCAAGTAGGGATACTTGCTGTACAGGCATAAGGATCTGAGTTCAAATCCCCATTACCTATAAAAAAGTTGGGTGTGGTCACACATATGCCCATAACTTCAGTGTTGTGGAGAGCAGAGGCAGAAGAATTGCTGGGGTTTGTTGGCCACCAGCCTGGTCAGTGACAGATCTGAAATGAGGCAAAAAGTGACAGAACATGGCAGAGCATCCCTGGTCTTTCTCTGTGTGCACACAGGCATGCATGCCTGCATATACATGTATGTATAATACACACACACACACACACACACACACACACACACACACACACACACACACACCCTTTGCTTATTTGACATTGACATTACATTACATTTAAGAAACTATTCAGCTACTGGAACCACCCTGTGCCCAGAAAATGGAGTGTTTACTCAACAGAGGGGGAGTTGTGTCAGTACAGGGCTGCACCAGTGTTTGGGGTGTTCCTTAGGTGTCTGGTTGGATGGTTGTCCTCTGGCTAGTTGATTCCTGTCTCTGAGCTGCAGCGCCCTGGGTATAGGTTGGAAGAGTAAGAGCCATCTGGCCAGGCTACTGTGAGGTCCACGGGCTGAAGTGTGTTACCCAAGTGGAAGGCTTGACTTTCAGCCCACAGAGGCAACCTTCCCATCGAACCCACTGGGACCCACTGAAGTGACGCTTTCACTGTGCTGGCTGTGAGGTGCCTGGGAGAGCTGGTGTCAGGTGCTGCTTTTCACTGATGTGGGGAGACAGTGTCTCATCCTATGTCAATGTTTCTCTCCGTTCAGGGCATTACAATGTCAACGAGTCTCTGGTGAAGCAGTCGCCAAAGGTCTTAGTGTCCTGCTTCAAATCCAAAACTGGCCGTGGATTAAAACTGACATCAACAGGCCCAGGACCTGGTTACTACAACCCCAACGATCAGATCAAGATTCTGAAATAGCCTCACGTGCCGTGAGTCCTGGTTTTTCTTCTGAGGTAGCTCAGGGGATGCTCAAAGGAACAAAATGAGAATGGGCGCCATTTAGGCAGGACTCAGTCCAGGGGCCCCTGCTACCTTGTTACAATGCTCAATGAGCCATTGGAGAGTATATGATTTTAACTGTCAGACATACAGTAAGTGCAAATGGTGACTTAACATTAACACAAATTTAAAAAGGAACAGAACTGGATGGGTTGGTTCACACTTACAATCCTAGTACTTTGAAGACTGAAGCCCGAGTGTTGAGAATTCAAGGCCATCCTGGGCTACATAGACAGATCCTGCTCCATCAAAGCATCTCTTAGGAACATGTGCCCCCTGCCCCATGGTAGAATCACCATACTTGCTTCCTGGAGGAAGGAGCTGGGCTTCAGGAAGGCCGAGGGATTTGCCTGAGTTTGCACATTCACATCCTGCCAACATGACTCTGGGCTCTTAGGATCTTTCTGTGGTACCCATGAAGCTGGCTTCTCCTGGGGCCATGATTGCTCTGCTTGCATAATGTGGAGATGCAGGACCTGGGATGCACTCATCATGGTATCCTGATGGATAGCTGCTGGATCTGAACTTCAGCTCGACTGTGTGCATGCTGTCTGGCCTTGGGCAGTGTGTTTTACACTCTGTGAGCTCTCATGCCTTCATCTGTGAAGTTAAATGGGTTTAATTCATACCTCTTAAGGTTACTTTTGGAATTTAAAATTTGTCAGACATACAGTAAGTGCAAATGGTGACTTAACATTAACACAAATTTAAAAAGGAACAGAACTGGATGGGTTGGTTCACACTTACAGTCCTAGTACTTTGAAGACTGAAGCCCGAGTGTTGAGAATTCAAGGCCATCCTGGGCTACATAGACAGATCCTGCTCCATCAAAGCAGGGTTGGGAGGTGGAGAGAGAGAGAAATTGTGTTTGAAAGTTTTTATATTTATTTATCTATTTACTTTTAGTATTTATTTATTTATTTATTTATTTTGGATTTTCGAGACAGGGTTTCTCTGTGTAGCTTTGGAACTTATCCTGGCACTCGCTCTGGAGACCAGGCTGGCCTCGAACTCATAGAGATCCCCCTGCCTCTGCCTCCCAAATGCTGGGATTAAAGGCATGCACCACCAATGCCCAGCCTACTTTTAGTTTTTTTGAGACAGGGTTTCTCTGTATTGTTTAGGAGCCTGTCCTGGAACTCACTTGGTAGACCAGACTGGCCTTGAACTCACAGAGATCCACCTTCCTCTGCCTTAAAGGCATGTGCCACCAACGCCTGGCCTGAAAGTTTTTATTTTTATTCTATATGTACGGGTGTTTTTGCCTGGATGTACGTTTGTTTACCGTGTATCTGCAGTGCCCACAGAGGCCAGAAGAGGGTGATGGATCCTCTAGAACTGTAGCTATAATCGTCGTGAGCTGTCTTGTGGGTGCTGGGAACCTAACCCCAGTCCCCTGCAAGAACAAGTGCTCCTTGCCCCTGAACGCCCCACACCCCCACCCCCAGCCTCGTCATACACCATTTCTAATGTTGCTTTCATCTAAGAGACTCAAAGGTGCTCAGGACTTAAGAATTGCTCAAACAGCTGTAGAGCTTCTGGAACTATCGGCACGTAAGGTTGACCTTGTCACCATCTGAGTCTTTGTCCTGTTGCAGCCCAGCTTGCAGGTCCAGCCATCAGAAGGGTGACCACCAGGGTTGGGACTGAGGGTGTGGATTCCTGGGCCCCTCCAGGAAGGCAAGGCAGGTGTCAGGGCCACAGTTGCAGTGGGCATGTGGCAGGGGGCTGGAGATATTGGGCACCATCTGGCCATCAGTCTAGGACGTGGGGCAGAAATTCAGGAATCTGTCAAGTCAAACAGGACCTGGAGAAGGGACTCAGGCTTAGATGGAGGCTACCAGTGAGTTCCCTCTGTGGTACCATTGTGGGATCCTGCAGGATCCTTCCCAAGCCCTGGGGCAGGGGACCGTCATGGCTATTCTCTCCCTAAAGGTCGGAGACTCCTTCCTTCAGGATGGCTTGAGTCCCCTCTGCTCACAAACTTTTCCTTAGTCTGCCTGGGAAGCACTGTGTTTAGAGGCAGGGATTATCCTCCATGGAGCCTCCCCTCCTGGCCTCATTGCTGAGCAGAGTTGAGGATCTCTTCTGTGGCTCTGCCAGGCTGAATGAAGCAGAACTTGGAAACAGTTCTTACTTTTACCCAGCTGACGCATAAAAGCCGTGCGTATTTATGGAGACCGTGTGATGTTTTGATGCATTACCTAATGTTCAAACCGGGAGAAGCGTCTGTCTCCTCCGGCATCTGGCTCTTACTCATCACAGTTGAGATTGCTCTATATCCTACTGAAATAGAATACAGCTGTGATTTTGCATGGTGGCTCAAACCCACAGCCCAGATCTGGAAGCTTCAATGAGGAGGACCTACCCAGGAGCTTTCTGGAGTGGCAGCTGTAGAGCAGTGCCACACTAGAGGCTAGTGCTTGGGCCTTGTGAGGCGTGGCTGAGGAATGCATTGTGGGTGTTCTCAGCCTTCGGCTGCCCAGCTGACTCAAAGTTAGGATTTGTTGGCTTTGCAGGTTGTCTAAAGATGTGAAGCGCCTGTTAGCCAGGGTTTCACTTCTCCAGTTCCTCAGTACCCATCCTGGGGGTGACTCAGTGAGGCAGGGCAATGCAAGGTGAAGACTTTGAGATGAGAATGGGGTCCTCCCAGTGCCACCTGCTGCCAGGTGGAGGAACACCCAGAGACTCCTCTCCTCCACTTCCTGGAGTCGCTAAGCCATAGGCTTTTCATGGCATGCCATCCTGTCAAGAGTAGCCCGAGAATCAAGCCCTTTGGCCCAGCTCCAATCCAGTAATTAGGCTGGGCCAATTATGCTGGGCCCACCTAAAGTTCCCGGGGATTGTCGATTCGCTGTGGGATGCATCTTCCCAGGCGGCTCATCTGTCACTGTCCCTACCCTGAAGAACAGATAGATACTGCATTCCACCCCAGAGGCAATCGGTTGCCCTTTAATGTGGAGAGGAATTGTGAGAAATTGCCCTTTCATCCCTCCCAAACCTGGGAATCCCCGAGGCAGAGAACCTGTGCCTGGGAGTGTCTAGGGGGTCCTAGATGCCTTCCGCAAGTGACCCGCTGAGACCGTGAAGACATCCATTATCTCTGAGCCACTGACAAAGGGCTCCCTTGGAAGCTGGAGTGTGCTTAATCCCCGATGTGGCTACAGGAGGAGCTTGATAGATGTTTTCATTCGTTACTAAACCACCAACCCCACACTGGTCACACTGAATTGCTGGTCACACACATCCTGGGTGTGGCCACTGGACCTCTGTGATTTCCAAATTGCATCATGTCCTGGGTAAGGGGGACTTTGGTGTCTGGACTCCATCACCTTCTTTGCAACCTTCTTTTCACACACACAGCCACCACCCCCATCCCCACACACAGAATTTGAGACATGGGCAAAGAGATGTCAGTGTCTGCCTTCAGCCCTGTCCTTCCATTATTTCTAGGCTGTTCTCTCATTTCTCACCATTCTCTCCCCCACTTCCCCACAGACCCTGTAAATGCAAAGTTAAGAGGGAGCTCTGATTATGGCCTTTCAGTCACACATTCCCTCCCAGAAAGACCCAGAACAGCACTGCTCTCAGCCCCGTGCCCTTGCCCCGCCCTGTTCCTTCATGCAGGAGTGCCGTCTCTATACACTCACCTCCGCTGTTCCACCTATTGGGGGCCTCCCGGTTAGTCTTCTTCCTGTATGCACTCATGCGCATACACACACACACACACACACACACACAGACACACACACACACACACACACCACACACACAGACAGACACACACACACACACCACACACACACACACACACACACACACAGACACACACACACACACACACCCCACACACACACACACACACACACACACACACACACACACAGACACCTACTGTGCTTTCTACTTGCTCCACTCTTTAGGGGTGGTGATCTTGACTTACTCAGAGGCCCCTAGCCCCCTGGGGGCAAAGAAGGTCATGGAGCCCAGATACCACAAAAAGCCTGAGGCTGGCACTCTCTCTACCATGTCTGCCCCTGTGTGCCCACTGCTGGAGTGCCCTTTCCTCCTCTCCCTACCTGAAGGTTCCCTGCTGACCTCTCCCAGGGTGCAGGTTTGCACCATCTCTGTACTCCTGTTTTCAGCTGCCTGGGCACTCTCTATAGAGTCCATGCTAGCCTCAGATTTGTGGCAGTCTTTCTGCTTCAGCTACCCAAGTGCTGGGATTGCAAACATGTGTCTTTATTTATACTCAGGCGGCTGCTACTTCTTCTTCTTCTTCTTCTTCTTCTTCTTCTTCTTCTTCTTCTTCTTCTTCTTCTTCTTCTTCTTCTTCTTCTTCTGGCTGGCCTCAAACTCACTGCCTTTGCTTCCTGAGTGTTGGAATTACAGACATGTGCCTTTATTTGTTCTCAGGACTTTTTTTTCTTTTTAAAGATTTGTTTATTTATTATGTATACAGTGGTCTGCCTGCATGTCAGAAGAGGGCACCAAATCTCATTATAGATGGTTGTGAGCTACCATGTGGTTGCTGGGAGTTGAACTCAAGACCTCTGGAAGAACAATCAGTGCTCTCAACCTCTGAGCCATCTCTCCAGCCCGTGCTCAGGACTTTTAAAGTCCCTTTCTAACAGACTTCCTGTTAGGCACAGAAGTGAAACCTAGTTATTCCTAGCATATGGTCTGGGGTGGTCAGATTCCCTGACATCACATAGCCAGGGGGCAGGGAAGGGAACATTCAAGCCACAGTGGCACTCTTCACTGTCACCATTCAGATGACACTAGCTGTGGACTACCCCGCCCTCAAGATCTGTGTGTTAGTCCAGAACAGCCTAGACTCCTAAATGTGCTTGGCTGAAGCTGCACACAAAGCTGGTGCTCTGAGAACCTCACTCCCCTTTCCATGACAGGCCCCAGAAGCTACTTCAGGTGAAAGGCAGCCCTTCCCCTGCACAGTGACTTGACTCCCCAGATGGCCCGGACACCCGGTAACCATCCTAACTGTTGGTTGAGGTGAGGGGTCAGTCCTCAAAGGCCCTCTCATTTAACTCTCCCAACTTACACATGGGTAGACTGTTAAGTAGGCTTGGTCGTCCTACTTAAGCATTTATTTAATGTAACTTTGTGACAAAGATGCTATACAAAATAGACTCCATTTCCAGAAGGAAAGATGGAAGTCTGCAACAGTTAATAAGCAGTGAGTATCCTGTAGAAGTTCTAGCTTCCATCCCAATGCTTTTTCCACCCCTGCCTCCAGCCTTAAGGGGAACCTAGCAGGGTTCTGGAACATCAATAGAAATCTGTCAGTTGTGGAACAGCAAATCCCTGGAAGGCAGAGTGAGGCTTCCTCTTCTCTGGCCATGGAGACATCACGAGTGGCTCACCAAGGCCTCTTTCATTCAGGCTTCAGTTCTCAGAGCTCCAAACAGACTCTACCAATTGATCACAGTCAGCACATACGATCGATCAGTGCTACCCGCTTTTCCCAATGAACTGGGCAGTAGGCGTCTATAACAGAAATGTGTTTGTGTTCTCACTTCCCCAAGGACCTTGTTTTAGGTACCACACTTCATTTCAACCCTGACAAGCCTGTGAGGTATGGTTGTCATTGTACAGACAAGGAAAACTGAGGCCTGGAGGCCCTGGGCTCACAAGCAACTGAGCTAGGATAGATACTGGCCAGGGTGAGCTTGGGGGGCAGGTATCACCTGTTCTTTAGACTCTACCATTTCCCCCATAAGGCTGCTGTGATGACATCTTTCCATTTTGTCTTTTCTAAAGGAAAGGTACGCTTCTGAACTTTTCTGCCCAGCCTCTGCCTTTGCCTCCAAAGCCACCTTTCCCTGGGCCTGGCCAGTACGAGATTGTGAACTACGAGGGACCCACTAAGCATTTCATCTCCAGTGCATCGTTTGTGTCGAATACAAGCCGGTGGCCAGTGTTGTCATCCAAACCAAGCCTGCCCGGTCCAGGTCAGAGAACTGTAACCCCAAATCTTCTGCAACAGTTTGTCATTCCGAGGCCATCAAATACCTACAGTTTATGGGGTTGTTTGCTAAACAGGTTACAAGGGTGAGATGGGCTTAGCAGGTCATGGGCTCACAGTTCAAGATCACTAAAATGTTTTCTTTTGAATGTAAAGAGGGCTTTGGATTTGAAACCAAGGCTGAGAGGTCCAAGAAACCAGAGGCTCTGGGAGGTAGTGACGGCACTGGCTGGAGTGTGCATCTCACAGGCCTCCCCTCCCCTCCCCTCCCCTCCCCTCCCTTCTCCTCCCCTCTCCTCCCCTCTCCTCTTCTCCCCTCCCTTCCCCTCTTTCCTCTATTTTTCTCTCCTCTCTTCCCTTCCACTCCTCTCCCCTTCCCCTCCCTCCATTCCTCTCCTCTCTCTCTCTCTCTCTCTTTCTCTCTCTCTTTCTCTCTCTCTCTCCTCTCTCTCTCTCTCTCTCTTTCTCTCTCTCTTTCTCTCTCTCTCTCATTCCATAATGTGTGTGGCTGTAGGAGGACAACTTATGGATCCTGGGGACTGAACTCAGGCTGTCAGGCCTGGCAGTAAGTGCTTTAAGCCACCAAGTCATCTCAACACCTCCATTTTAATTTTGAAGGCAAGGTCTCTCCCTGAACCTAAAGCTCATTGAGTCTGCCAGGCAGCTGGCCAGTGAGACTGAGGGATCTGTCTGTCTTGGTGCCACCAGTGTTAGGGTGACAGATATATGCCATCACCCTGGCTTTTCCCCTGGTCTCTGGGGAGCTAAAGTCAGGTCCTCATGCTTGTGTGGCTGGCTCTTTACTGTCCCATTGTTCCAGCCCTAGACATTGTACTAGAAGGAAAGGGCTATAGCGTTTGTAAGATTCTCATAAGACTTCTTGTTCTTAAAGATATTTAAGCCTCTAGTCTAGACTGGCCAAGGACTTTTAAAGCTAGATAAGGTCTGAAGGGCAAGCTGCCTACTGCTTGGGCATTTGTGGTAGGGCTGAGTCTCCAGGCAGTGTGCCTTCTATGTGATGGACACCAGAGACATCTGAGGGAGTGAGTCTCTTAAGCCACTTAGCTCCTCCCTCCTGACCCATGAGCTGGGACCTTGCAGCTACCGCTCTTTTGATGCCATTTCTTTCTTTCTCTTCAGCCACATACAAGCCAGAGATCCCAGGAAAGCAATCCTTCCTCTACAATGAGGACAACAAATGGATCCCAGCGATATAATGATGCCACAGGAGCTCAGGGAGAGGCTCATCCAGCCAGGCCACTGACCCTGCTCCTCCCGGCCACCCATCAGCAGAACACACCCTTCCTCTGTCACCCAGCCCAGGGTCACACACTGTCTGGAGTTGCCTTCAGGAGACTGGCTACCCCTGCCCCCTATACTTTCCTGAGTAGAAAGGAGGAGTGGACAGAGCTCTCTGGCTACCTCCATGTCAGCCTCCAAGCTGGTTTGCTGACTCCCGTCCCCTGAGTTAGGGGATCTTGAAGTACGGGCTCTGATATGCAACCCCAGCCTACTGCCAAGATAGCCTGTGATGAATTCCTTGCTTAGAAGCCAATCAGCCAGGGCTCTGAGGCCTGGTCCATGGGCCCTGACCTCCAATTGTCCTTGACTTCTGGGAGGCAGGATGTCCGGAGGTGCCCGCAACATAAGCAAAGGGTTATTCCCTGGGTACCCCTGGCCTCAGCTATGCCTTGTTATATAACATGAACATGGAAACCAGCCATGAATCACTCATCACCCATGGACTTGTATTCATCACCAGGCAAGGGAGGACCCAGCTGGAGCTAGAGGCCTGGAACCATGTTCCCCAGGGCAAGAAGGACCTCTGTGTCCCTTACCTTCATGTTCTCACTTCCCCAACCTTGCCTCTGCCTGGCCTGGTCTCTGTCGCCTTCCTAACTTCCCACTCTAGTTCTGAGAAAGCATCAATTTCTAGTTGGACGGTGTCTCTAACAGACCATGGAGCACCTACAATGGCTAGAGGGAGAGCTGACCAAGAACCAAGATGAAATTAAACTGACCACGCATCCTCCCCATTCCCAGGTGTTGCTAATGTCTGCCACTGTTCTAGACGGGATCCTCTTGGGCTTCCTTTTCTCCTCCAACCCCTGATGTCCTTCCAGGATAGCTGGAAAGGATTCTCTTCCCAAGGCCTGTTCCTTGAAGTTCTCTGGGAACTGTGCATCCTGAGCCTCCCATCTTGACTGGCTTCCTGATTGGCTTTTTTTCTGGGGGTGGGGGGTGAGGAAGAGGGAAGGAAGGGATGAAAAAACATTCAATTAAATGGAATTTTTGCTTTTCACAGAAGCTGGGCTCTTTGTGAACTTCAGATTCCTGCACGCTTGGGCTTTGGAATGATGAGGTAGTCTGGTATACCCAGGAAGCATGGGGGCTTCTGGTCATACTGATCCTAGAGACTGACTGGGCTGGAGTCCCCTAGTCCTGGGTCACATTGGGCAGAGGCTGACAATGTACCAGAAGTTACATCAGGCCTCTTCAGTCATCATGATGCTCCACTGAGTAATGACTGTCTCTCCAAAGTAGACCAGGAAGCAGGCCACTCGGAGGCGGTGAGAAGGGCAGGGCTCACCACACATTCCAGAATTCACTGTTGGGGCTGAGGCCCTGAGGTCAGTGTGATGGTCCTCCGACACTCTAAAGATGTCCCAAGCTGCTCAGAGTTCTGTCTCAACCCCCAGATGGACGTTAGGCTACCTGGGACCTAGGGTCATCATGCCAAGCTTGAATCTCAAAAGCTCTAATTTAGTTTAATTGGAGCATGGGATCAGTGATTTTTCTCATTGCTTAACCAGAATATCTGACAGAAAGAAGGGTGAAATTCCTCAGTGTGTGCATGTAATCCACCAAGTGTGGTGGTTGGCACAGCTCAGGGTGTGGTGTTGTGCCCAAATTCTGAATCCCCAAATCACCAACAGGCCCATTTCAATGCAAAAGCAATGAGTCTTTTCTTGCAGTTGTTTAATGAGCTAACCCCATGTTAGCCTTTCATCCACCCACCATGGCAGATGGCTGGGAAAGACGCCGAGAAGCCATTGCATAGAGATCTTATAGGGCAGCGTAAGGGGAGTGTCTGGAGTACACACAGGCTCAGGATTGGTGTGCCTCCAGGCTTGGAGGGCTTGCCCTGTGTTGATTGGTCAACTGGTTGTTATGGCCCATAGGCCCTCCCAGGGCGATTGCTATGCTCTGCACACCATTGCTGTGCACTTGTCCATAAAGCACACCCAGAGCCGTAAAGCATAGCGCCACCATCTAACTTCTGATTGGTTCCTTGCCACGAGGAAGGCATCTGACCTCCTAGTGACCAAGGCGTCAGGCAAGTACATGTTAGGCTGTTATGGCTGCTGAAATGGGGAGCTGGTCCCTTCAGTGGTAGCAGGAGTGAGCATGAGATGGCTGGCCACTCTGTATTCACAGGAAGCAGAGAGGCAAATGCTGGCACTCAGCTAGCTTTCTCCTTTCTCCTGTCTTACTCAAGCTGGTCAGCTGGTCCAGGTGATGGCACCACCCACATTCAGGGTGAGTCTTCGTCCTTCAGTTAAACTTTCAGACATGCTCAGACTCAAATCCAGACATTGTTATTATTTTTTTCTATTTTAAATTTAGTTCTGATGTTTTGATTCAAGGCCTCCCTCTGCAGTTGATTGTCCTTGAACTCCAGAGTCTCTTGCCTTAGCCCCCTGAGTGCTGGGATTACAGCCATGCAGCTACACACTGATTTATAAAGTCCTGTGTGTGACTGGGACAGAGCAAGCTTGACCTAGGATGTGCTGCTATTTTACCAGAGGGCTTCCCAAATGATAATATACACACACACAGACCACTTGGGTATCATGTTAGGATACAGACTCGGTGGGTCTGGGGCCGTGGGGCAGAGAACCTGCATGTAGACATGTTCCAGGTGGTGTCAATGCTGCGTGTCTGATAGCCATGCTTAGAGTAGCCTGAGCTGAAACACACTCGGTTTGTCATCTTGCTTCTCCCACTGGTTCATCCATCTTTTTGTTAATGTTCCCTCCTTCCCTCTCCTCACTCCTCTTGTGCTGGGTGGTTTTGTGTCAACTTGACATGAGCTAGAGTCATCTGAGAGATGGGAGCCTCAATTGAGAAATGCCTCCATAAAACCAGGCTGCAGGCAGGCCTGTAGGGCATTTTCTTAGTGATTGCTGTGGGAGGGCCCATTCCATTGTGGGAGGGACCACCCCGGGGCTGGTGATCTTGAGTTCTCTAAGAAAGCAGGGTGAGCAAGGCATAGAACACAAGCCATAGCACTCCTCCATGGCCTCTGCATCAGCTTCTGCCTCCGGGTTCTTGCTGTTTAAGTTCCTATCCTGACTTCCTTCAGTGATGAACAGTGATGTGGCAGTGTAAGCCAAACAAACCCTTTCCTCCTCAAGTTGCTTTGGTGATGGTGTTTCATCACAGCAATAGTACCCTAACTAAGACACTTCCCTTCCTTTTTCTCCCCCCTTTACCCTCACTCTCTTGAGTGGCAGCAAATCTACCAGGCAGCAGTTACCTGAAGATAGTTAGTGCTCTCCCCACCCATCTCCCCCCTTTACCCTCACTCTCTTGAGTGGGCAGCAAATCTACCAGGCAGCAGTTACCTGAAGATAGTTAGTGCTCCCCACCCGTCAACAGCTACCCTCCTAAAGAGAAAGCTGTTGGAAAGATCCTGCTGGCACCTCCATTCCTCCTAGCATTTTGCTTTGGGGAATGGTAACCTTGCAATGGCATCCCTGGCCTCCTGACTGTCTCTAAGGGCAGGTATGACCTTTTCAAGTCTTGTAGAACACTGTCCTTGGGGGCCAGGTGGACTCTTTAACTAGAGAACCCTCATCTCTTATATGCTGGTGGGTTGCTGGAGGCCTGTAGACGCAGAGGCTGCCAGCACCTGGCCTGCATTCTGCAGCAGGTGTGCTCTGAGGCTGCTGATTCCTCTGTGCACATGTGCCAGCCACAGAGATCCAAGGGCATCCATGCCTCTCTGGAACAGTGATTCTCAGCCTCAACTTCACACTATGATCACCTAGGGAAGGTCAAAAAGTACCATTTCCCAGGCCTTCATCCAGAATGCTGACTTAGAGAAGAGGGCAAGGTAGGGGCTGCCCAGATGACTCCAATATGCCATCAAGGTTACCATCACCTCCTACCTCCCATTACCCGTGCCCCTACCCCCGGCCCTCTGTCCAGGTTTTCTCCTTGCTCCCAGCAGAAGCTGTGTAGGAAGCTAAGAGGGAACTCCACACACATAGAGTCCTGCATGGGCTTGGTACTATCAGTCACTTTGCTCTACTGCCTAGTGTGGTGTCCCAGAAGCAGGGAACCTAACAGGGTGAATGGCAATTCTGAATGCTCCACAGTGTCCCTTGAGCAGGGCCACACCAACCATGTCAAAGCACCAGGCAAAGGAAGAACAAATAGTGCAGATCCTGTCTTTAAATAATCTTGAGATTTTTGTTCATCGTGGTTCTTTGGTTTTAATTTTAAAATGATTTTAGATTGGGCATTGTAATGTAATCCTAACATTCTAGATAGTAAGTTTAAGATTAGCCTGAACTACACAGTGAGACCCTGTCTAATAAATAACAACAAAACAAAAATAAAAACAACCAACCCTCAATGCATTAAACTACAATCTTAACTGCATTGCTGGACCCTTTGGCATCCTGTCATTGTCACGTCTGAGTCCAGTTCCTCACTGTGTAGCCAGCATCCCAGTGCTGACTGTAGGCAGGGTTTGTAATATTTGACCATGGATTCTGTTGGAATTGGGAAGTTCTCAAGGAATCTTGCTTCTTAAACTTTCAAAACAAACAGAAGTACACATACGAGGTGCACAGACATACATGCAGGGGAAACAGCCGTAGCCGTACACATAAAAGATTTTAAAGTCTTGTTCAGGCATATAAGAAATTCTTATTTATAGGAAGCAGAACTGCTAGGATTGAAGACAAGGATGCCCACCCTTCCCCACATCCTGGGTCTTTGAGACTCCCTGGAGAGACTGAGGCTCTAAGGTGACAGCTGTGACCAATGAGGGCCAAGCTATGCTTTTTATTGCTAGGGAAATGGCTGTGGAAAAGGAAAAGGAGGAAGAGAGGGAGGGAGGAAGGAAGGAAGGAAGGAAGGCAGGCAGCAGGCAGACAGGCCTTCCTTTTGGTCTGTTCCCTGGAGAATATGAAGCTTGGTTTGTAGTTTTCCCTTGCCCCTGAGGCCCCTAGGCTGTATACAGGGTACCAATATGATGTCACTGCTGTACTGTTGGGAAGTGGTATGCCATTGCCTTTTGGGCCAGTATGAGTTGGATCCAGAGAAAATGATAGTCTGGAGAGGAGGGGCAGAGTTGGCCCAGGTCTCAGTGGCATGGACCCCAGCCTCGGGCTCTGTCTAGTGGCCTCTCTGTGGGGGCCTCATCACTGCCACTGTGCACATTTACAGGCCTTGCTCCCAGCATCAAGGATCCCACCATGACAGCCGGTCTTGTGAGACCACCTATGGACTGTATGGCCTGTCGCAGGTGAGTACCTCTGTCCATAGTGCTATGCTCATTCCCAGCCTCCAAGTGCAGAACAAGACGCCTTTGGGATGAGGCCACAGTGAAGAGAGAAAGAGGAAGGGCCACCTCCCAGAGCCTCTCTTCTGGCTAGAGACTCCCAGAAGGACGGAGCACATGAAGCTGGGGAAGTGTGCACAGGTAGGCTTTTATTACTAAATCCTATGATATACAAAATGCATAATCGAATATCAGCTAAAAAAATAGTCCAAGAAATATGAAATACATATCTTTGAAATGATAAAAATGTAACGAATATACAAAATGTTGCATATATATACAATATATTTATATATATATATCACATAATGAAAACTGTAAATAAGAAATGTGTACAACAGTGGGCGGCAAGGGGTTTTGCTTCTGTCAGCTCTGTGATGCTGACTTACATCTTGTACTGAGGAAGTCAGTGAGGAAGGGTTTCCCCTCCAGTGTCCTTAAAAAAGGCATTTGTTCTGAAAGTCAAGAGTTTTCAAGTTAATTGGCCAAAGAGTGAGAAATCTTTGGTCCTAAGTTGGCGGAAGGATACAGAGTGAGAACCAATCAAAGCAGCAGGTGTAGCCCGGAAGAGAGGGTGCTGTGACCCCCCAGGGCCTCTGCGAGGGAACTTAGAGAAGGCAGGCAGGCAGCTGGGTCTGTGTTGACCCGGACTCCTG